TTTTTCTGGTCTTCAAATGATAAATTACCCTGACCCCATCCTTTCTGCACTCGCTTTAGGGTTTTCATGGCTATGGCACTCCCATCATCTCTGTGAGAATTGGGCAGAGGAAAATGGTATATCAAGATGCTAAAAGAATTACAGGAAACAGTGCAGATAACTAACAGGTAAATTACTGAATAAACTGATTTTTAATTGTCAAAAACAAAATTAAAAGAAAAAAAAAGAAGAAGATGAGCAACGAATTCAGCCACTTTAAGTTTAACTATCTACCTGTTCAGAATGGTCCGCCAATCACTGCTCAGTCTGTTCAGTGTGTCTTTTTGGGATATAGTTCTGAGTATAAGGGTTATCGTTGTTATGATTCTTCTGCTCGTCGCATGCGTATATCTCGTGATGTCACTTTTGTCGAGGATCGTCCTTTCTTTTATAACCCTTTCACTCCTCCCACATCTTCTTTTTCTTCAGAGTCTACGTCATTCTTATGTCTTCCACCTATTTCCTTCCTTGATGATGATGTCCCTGTCTCTTCTCCATCGTCCACTCCTGATGAGCCTGCACCACCTAATTTTGATGAGCCTCTACCACATAAAATACCCATCACACAAGTCTATACTCGTCGTTCCAAAGGTCACACAACGCATCCGCCTCATTCTACTCCAGTGGCCAGTCCTGATGCTCCCGTCCTAGATGATTCTGTTGATTCTGATGTATCACATGCCATTCCTGGAGAATCTGAGGTTGGTCAGAGATATAATTTACGTGATCGTGCTACTATTGTGCCTCCTGATAAGCTGGGCTTTCCACGTGCGGGCGCTATTATTGATGAGCCCTCAACCTATCAGGAAGCTTCGAGTATTCCAGAATGGCAACTGGCTATGTCAGAGGAACTTGCTGCACTTGATCGTACTGGCACTTGGGATTTTGTTCCGTTACCATCACATGTCGTCCCTATCACCTGTAAGTGGGTCTTTAAGATTAAGACCAAGTCAGATGGTTCCATTGAGAGATATAAAGCTCGTCTTGTTGCTAGAGGCTTTCAGCAGACTCAGGGGCGAGATTATGATGAGACTTTTGCTCCCGTTGCTCACATGTTCGTACTTTCATTGGAGTGGCTGCTACTCGTTCTTGTACCATATCTCAGATGGATGTGAAGAATGCTTTCCTTCATGGTGATTTGCATGAAGAAGTTTATATGCAGCCACCGGGTGTTGATGCTCCCTCTGGACATGTTTGTCGTCTACGTCGTGCATTATA